GCTCTCCATCGTAGTTCTTCAGGCAAATGATGCCTAGAGGTCATTATTACGAATTGGCTATCTCAGATTTTCAATGTCGCAATCACAGTAAAATTTGTGTGCTTTCTCTCAAACTTGGACTTTTATGCTCCAGGCAGATGACGTAAGCCGAGTGCAGCGCCACTAATTTGCATATTGCAATTTTACTCAGCTACTCTTAGTGGACAACATATGCAAATTTTGCACGGTTTGGCTTACTTTTGAAAGAGTTATCGCTATTTTTGTGATTTTTCCTTAATTTATGATAACCAGTGTATTAATCTCACGTAGTTCGACTGTGAGATTTTAATTTTAGATACAGTTCAAAATGCATGTTTAAGAAAATGGGACTGAACAAAGAATGCGTCTTTTCAACTTCCAACCCAAATTCAACAATTATACGAAGAATTTCGTAGTCCTGAACTTCCGATGTCTGGATTTAGACGATCTCTACGTGTCTAGAACTCTAAACGATGAATGGTTTTTAAAAATCTAAATTCGCACACCTAATTTAATATTGTTATCCGTAACCACCTTGTAAAAACAACTGAAAGACAAAAAAATTTTTTAAAAAAAGACTTAATTTTGAAAACTGTACTAAGTGATTTTAGGAAAATTAATTTATTTCCTAAAATCACGAATGAAGGAAATGAATAAAGTAAGATAAATTCTGACATCTCGTTAAGAATTTATTTGGGTTAGTTAGTCTTTATACAAATAGCTATATTAGTAGATAGGAGCCATATGCTAAGTCCAGTTTTTTAAACACGCATTTCGAGCAATGTGAAGTGTCAATTTTCTTAAACATATATTTTGAACTGTGTCCAGAATAAAAAGTTCACGAGTCGTATCTGAAAAGACGAGTTGTTTCTAAGCATTACCAATATAATCAATTGGAAAGCAAGTTTCTCAGATTTAATATCTTGTGAACAGAAAATTAATAATACTTTTACTTCATTTTGGGTGATGAAAAAGTGTTTCAAGATTAGGTTGATTTTTATTAGACATAAATTGTGAAAATAGCATTTAGCATTAACTTTTCAAGAGTATGGCATTTTGAACAAATAATTTATAGATTCAAAATGAATTCATGAAGACATGTCCTGCCACAAACACATTATTCATAGTTACAATGCATTTAAACGATATTGGGAAATATATTTAGAATTCCATTTTTAAAATTATTTTATGTTTCCAATATTCATGTGGTTTGAATGTCTACTATGTGCTTACTAGTACTAAAAGTGTTTACAAATGCTAAAAATATTTACTATTGCTAAAAATGTTTACATTATCTGATAATTAATAATGTAATAGATTATTATAAAAATAATATAAATGCATATCCATTTAAAACTAATATAATTCAATTACATTACAATCTAATTATTTAAATTTATTGTGTAAATTTTTTTGAAAATGGCAGACAAAAATGAGAGTTTATTTCGGTGTCAAAAACAGTTTAATATTAAACGATCTATTAAGAAAAATAGTTTTACCCATAAATTTCATGACAGAAAATGCATTTAAATCTCAAGAAAACAATAAGAGACAATTGCAACAAAGCATCCATTTAACAATCACTTAGCAAAAGTTCGAAACATATAAACAATGTCTTTTTACTATTACAATGTTCGTAGCAAAAATCCATTTAAACAATGCTAGGCGTTATTTTAAGAT